ACTTAATATTATGGTATTAATATCTAGATCTGTTTTCATGTTGCAGTAATATCAGTGATATAGAAGCAGAGCGATGAGTGTCATCCGATGAAGAGAATACAACTAGAAATTGTCATCCAATAAGTCAAAAATCTAAGCTGCAGTTTTACTGTACTTCGCTAGTACAGCGAAGTGCGATCCTGTTATGTTAAATAGTTGCCAATTGGGAATATTCTTCATACAAATTAATCTACTTTTTCCCTTAAAACATCTCATCTTTATTGTCATGGACTATGCTCTTAACGGGAATCAGGGTATAACGGTTTTGTGAAAGTCTCCGTAACAGACTGAAGGAGTTGTGACAGACTACATAAAGTGGATGAGTCGATATTGATATGTCCGTGTGTCCGTTCGTATGAACGCCAAAATTTCGTAAGCCACAAAAGCTAGAGAAGTGAAATATTTATATTTATACTCGTGTACACCATATGCAGCAGATGTATATCATATTATTTTCGTTAAATCATCCCATTTCATTATTATCGATAATAATCTACTGAATATATTTCGAAGGCTGTTTTACTAGATATTTATGATTTGCTTCAAAGACCCATGGCATAAATTAAAATCATATGTAATTTTGAAATTTAGAATACCACGCCCCTGCACCCCATATTAGAAAAAAATTGTTTGCCATTTTCAATGGGTTGAGATTATAGCAACGTAGATCAATTACTAAAGATTTTTGCAATGGAAAATTCATAGATTTGGATACTAGGGTGCTCGGTAGTCCCTCCAGAAGGGAATTTATTTATCAATTTATGTGTGTAGTTGCATGCGTGTGTATGTGTGCATGTGCTTTAGTAAGCGTGCATAAAGGAATCGTAGAATGATTGGAATATCAGCTCTTTGCACGATTCAGGGGATCTCCCACTCCAGCAGCCTCCATTAAACCATTCTCAACTGGTCTCAAATTTATTGCGAAGGACAGCATAATATTCTGTTTTTCTCCCAGAAATCATATTAAATTATAATGTGAAGTAACCGAATTGACGCGATTCCTTGCTTTATAGCCACACTGTTAAAGAGTCATCAGTGCTAAATGTTTTGAAACTAACGGTTCTAGGAAACTAGCTGTCTACTATCTCCACATAGCTGCACCCAGGGCGTGGTCCATAATTGATGTTGAAATATTAAACAGAAAAAACTAAATACCGCTAGGTGCACAAGTGCTGGCCAATACCCATCGAATGGCGCACAACCAAATTCAAAAACTTTTGCCGTGCAATGTGAAGGAAATAAAAGAGCAGATGTTGGAGCTGGCAACAGCCACACATACAGAAGCGCACAATAATGCAAACAAAACAAAACGCAAAAACGGCATCCATTTAATACGAAAAGAAAACACACACACACACATATATATATATATCCCATTTAAAGGTGCCGGAAGGTGGGCTGGTGGGGTAGAAATGCAGGCCAGGGATGGAAACCGGAAGCAGGATGAAAAATTAAATGTCGAACTGGAATTGAAAATGGAAAAAGCGCGCGCTGCATTTGCACAATAACATTAAGCCAAAATTAAACACGAAGCATTTGGCAAAATACGCGCCAAAGACGCCAACTGGGGGCACCACCAAGCCACCCACCCAGTCAGCCAGAAGCCAGTCGAACATATTTCGATGCAAGGAGCAACAATTTGTCGGTGAGGTCAAGAGCCCAAACACTTGGCGTTGCAATGACGCGAACATTTTCAAATCCATTAATATCCATCATTACCCATGACTTTGCAACAATGTTTCGTATACCCTGTATCTGAAACGGCGACAACAGGCATGCCAGCCTGCTTGAAAGTCCAGACTATGGCTAGTCTACCAACCAGGTGCACTCTCTTCTTCATTCGATTCACACTTGAGCCAAGCTCAGCTGAGCCAGCTAACTAACTATTCCATATATACATACATATGTATATGCATGTTTGATGTAGTTTTTACTTAGGGCTCTTCGACTAAATTTGACTGGCCTTACCTCTGCTACCTGCTACAGGGTATATGTCAGCTGAACAGCTCGGACAGCTCTTGTCATCATTTTATTACTGTTGAAAGCCCGACAGCTTTTAAACTCTTGCCTTTTCGTGACTTGAAACGAGGTTTGCAACTCGACTGCAGTGAATTTGGTTTTTATTATTTCGCACCAAATGTTACAATTTTTAATATGAAATATTTTGAGGGAAACTTAATCGACCTCATAACTTATCCCGATAACAACTCGTTCTATGCATAACTGGAAAGTCGAAGACTTGCCAAGCATTCATGACAAGACAATCAAGGCTGAGTTATACTGCGAGGCAGAGGGAAAGGGTCGGACCGAAAGGAGTTGAGCTGGGGTGAGATCTTTTGGTATAGGTATATCTCTTTGATGAGAGAAATATATGCATATCCTGAGAGATTGTTAAAGTATAAAATAAGTCATCTCTCATACGCGTTGTCTAAGAGCATTAGAGACAAAAAGGGACAGATCTAGTCATAGATGTTTTGGTATAGGAACATATATCACTTTGATCGATATCCTAAGAGAGTATAAAAGAAGAAATCATCTGTGATACTAAAAAATATATATTTAAGAGGAGAATAATCAGTATTTAGTAGTAGATATATTCATACATACATATATACATACATATATACATATATACATATATACATATATACATATATACATATATACATATATACATATATACATATATACATATATACATGTATACATGTATACATATATACATATACAGCCAATGGCATAGCTGATATGCCCCTGGGCGGGCTATTCAATTACAATGCACTTTGCGAAATGTGGGGTTACAAAATGAGCAGTACTTTTTAATGACTCAACATTTCGTCATTTTTTCGTGAATCCTGACACGGGTCTGAGCGAAGAACGTAGAGCGCTGCTTTTGCCCGCTGGCCCGCTGGCTCTCAAATAACAAAGTGCTTTGGGCCTTCTGCAGCAGGTGGCGCGCACCGAAGCCAGGGCTGTCGATGTATGTTAAAGCCAACAAGTGACGGAAGTGAAATTACAGCGCATAGAAATTAAAACTCAAGTAAGCAAAAATCATTTCAAGAGTTTTCTGTGTTTTCTTCGTCTTCTTCTTCTTTTATTTATTCGGCTGCGACCCTACCAGGGCGACGAAATTCGTGCCAGGCTTAAGCTAAGCAAAGAGTGGGCTTTCAGTCACACTGCGAAGCCGTTGTCAACAAAAAATAAGCAGCAGAGAAGAGAAGAAGGAAAGAAGAAATCAAGAACAAGAAAAACTGCTTTGACACGTAAACCACTAAATACTCTACCGAGCTAATAAATACAGATATGTGGCAAGTTCTATAGCTAAGGTTCGTGAGACTGGGACTTAGCCATTTGATAATATTAGCTAAGACATTATTACAGATAGAAAACTCTATATACCTAAATCATCTTATATACACAATGAGTTTTGATCTATTACACTTCATCAATTATTTTGCTGATATTCCAAATTGAATGGCTTGCGTTCAGCTTTTAATATTAGCAATATAGAAATAACAAAATTGAATAGATTCTATTTTGAGTATCTGTATATACAATATGAGCTGACCGAGTTTCAATTGATTCCTGATGAAATCAGTTAAGCTCTGACCTACAATATTTGGGCTTTTATTGAATCTGTTATTCCTTATTGTTCCTGCCTTAAACTACTTGTTTGGCTTGCAATTAACTTCGTAGTCATAATGAATTTACTCGTATTCATATCAAAATGCCTTCAGCTACTCTACTTTGTATGGAATAATGGATTAAGATATTGCGGCATTTATTGAATGCGATAGTCACATTCAATATGTCTTTTGTCTTGAAATTAGCTTCATGTTGAATGATGAGAGTCATACGCAAACGAGTGCTCCAGTCGTAAGTGCCCAGTTAGGCGATACGCTATACCGCGCTGGTATTTCAGATTTCTTTGATATAAACACTGAAACGCATACACGCACACACGCACTTACTCACACGCACACATGCACACACGCACTTAGCTGCTCACTTTATGCATTGGCAGTGCTTCCTTTCCCTTTTCCCTGTTGAAGTGTCATGAGTGTGTGTGAGTGCGTGTCTGTGTGGATGTGTGTGTGAGTGAGTGTGGGTGGGTGTCAAGGGAAAAATGCGTATAAATGTTGCGAGAAGGTAACTGCAAGGCTAGACAAATCTGACTTATTAAGTTAACTGATGTGCTGGATGCGAGGTGCCAAAGGGAAACTCAAGAGAATGAGAGAAAGTCAAGCAGGGTATACCTGAGTCGCGACAGTCTGACTATTAGGTTAACTCATATGCTGCATGCGACAAGCTTCTGGCTGCCTTTAGGGACCCAGAAAAGAGGCAGGGTATTAAGGAGTCGTGCACCTCGGGGTGAGGTACAGTGACTTAAACGTTTCGAGCTGGCTGTAGGACAGGCAGGGTATTATTAGGTTGCACATTTTGCCCGTGCAGTCTGACTTATTATGTTTGACTTATTATGTTCATCAGCGCTGGATGCGAGGAACTGAGAAGGTGAGCTCACTTTAATAAGTGGAAGACAAAGAGGGTGTATTTGAGTCTTCGCATTTTGACTTAAGCTCTTGTGGCTGACTGTAGGTGTCAAGCAGATAGCCAGGGTATCCGTCTGTTGGGCGTTTTGACTAAGGCAGAGTATTTTAAGCCTTGCAGCTGGCTGCAGGTGCTGGGTCGTAGGCTGAGTCGTGCATTTTGCCCTTGGGATCTCTGACTTAAGGTAATATGGCTGCCTGTAGTAAGAAGACAGCCAGGGTATCTGCGGTTCGTGCATGTTAGCTGATGGGCTACAGCAAGTGTATGCATCGGAACCTTTTAAGAGTATAAATTGTGTTTGGATTACGTGTGGTTCATTTGAGTGCGACTCGGGCGGGGCCAACAACATAACTGCCAATAAAACCAATTGATATTTTATTATTGTTTTGTTTTTGTTTTTGCTTTCGTTACAGTCCTGCAAGCCGTCAGCTGGGAGGAATGGTGGACCTACGATGGCATCTCAGGTAAGTGATTGCCTCAGCCGAAATCAGAATTCAGCTCGCAGAGCTTTAAAGTCCTGGAGTAGAGCAGGAAGCGGCTAATCCAATTTAGCGTCGGCAGTTGGATATGAAAACATATTGATGCACATTGGGAAGAGCAAATATGTTGGCCTGGGTGTACTCTGGGCCGCGGCAAATCCATTCAGCTGGCTCCTACATATTAAAGCAAACACTCGACTTAAGCCCTTTTTACTACTTGAGTGGGTACATAGTGTGCAATTGCGAGTCGCGCGCTTTTTGCGTTTTTCACTCTGGCCCTGACTGCGGCTCGTATAACATTTTAGCCACCCACCCACTCACGGAGACGTATGTAAAGTTGCCGTATATTCGTCCTCATCTTATGTATCTGGCATTCGCAACAATGTTTGCGCAAAATAACGTAGCATACTTTTTGGCATTAAGACACGCTGGCACCTGTCACAGCGACTGCTCTCGTGTTGCCAGTGGTTGTTGTTGCTGTTGTTGTTGTGAAACGATTTCACCAGTGAGCAGAACTGCACACGTGAGTTGTTGGGTCTGGCTGTGGGGCAGAGAGAGAGAGAGAGAGAGAGCGGCTGCGGGGGCTTCGGAAATGGAGACGATTTGCAGCTGTCTAATGGAAGGCAGACGAAATACGCCAACAGAATCTGGCCATAAATAACTTTACTTGTTTCTCGGTCCATTGTTTGACTCCGTATCTTGATAGAAGAGCACTGCAATCGCCCCAGCTTAGCTCCGCCCTGCAGTCGGATGCCTGAACGCCTGCCTGCCTGAGGCACTTGCCTCAAGGTTAAGAAAAAATTTCAATGTGTCTCAAGTCAACCGGGCAATGTGAATGCGCCCTGAGAGATTACAGCTAGACGCCAGCGCCGTCTGTCAGTCCGGTCAAAGCAGAAGAAGAAAGCGCCGGCCAGATAAGCGTAGCTGCAGCTGCCCGCTCCACCTGTCTGCCAGCTGAACTGCCCAGTCCTCAGCTGCTCTTAATCTCATTAATGACAACAGCGACGCCATTTACACAAGACAAATGCATAAAGAACTGCGAGTGCTTCGAATATGGTTTGGAATCAACAGACCCAAGCGTGGCGCGAGGGGCGAGGGGCGAGGGGGTGAGGAGAGCGAATAGTTGTGCTGCAGGCGTCAAATGCTTCCGGCCTGGGCATTCTCGCCGATCGATACTCTGCACCGAAAAACGAAAGCTAGAATGCTAGTGCGAGTGCATCTATACCAAGCCTCAGTGGCCCAACAATTACCTCTAAAAAATTATTTATATTTCACATTTATATTAAGAATCTTATATACTTCAGATTCAGTCTAAATGTAAGAGAAGGGTGACTGCAAGAGTTCTACAATGCCAGCAGCTCTTAAGCTAAATATGCTTATATATGCCCATTAAAAGGTTTCAAAAGTAGTTAAACTATTTCTATTTCTTAACTCAAGATGATATACAGAAATTGATTGATGCAGACGATCTTATAGTATGCAATCTGCATCAATAGTTTTCTGTATATCATCTTGATCGTTTTTTGTATACCCAATGAATTCCGTTATCCAGTCTTTAGGTTAACAGATTAGTAGTTACGCTAGGCCTGCTACAAGACGAGAAAATACATCTTAAAAGAGGAGAATTAAAGAATAGAATAGAAGAGAAAAGACATGTCTGCATATAAAAGAAGATAACTTCTAGTTTTCTAGAAAAGTATTATTAAATGTACTTTTCCATAGTGAATCAAAACGTAAAATTTGTAATCATTGAGTGTTCCCTTGGAGCAGCCATGGACCAGGTGTGAGTCATGGTTGAGGAGCTCTCGATACGGTGAAAGTGTTGCAAGTACATGTGTAGTAAAATAGGCACAGCTCGTGCAACGCCAACGCCAACGGCAACAGCTACGGCTGAGTCTACGGCTACAGCTACAGCTACAGCTACGGATACGGCTACGGCTACGGCTACGGCTACGGCAACGGCAACGACAACGGAACGATGTCCCCGATGCTGTAACACGTGTTGTCAACAAATTGCAGCCAAATCCGTGCGAACTTTGTGTTTCTTTGGCATGAATAAATTTGCATAAGCATTGCATACATACGTAAGTGCTGTTGTTGCAAGTTAGAAAAGACGGCGCCACTGTGCCTTGCGGGCCATCGCGCCGGCATTTCCTGCTGCTGCTGCTGCTGCTGCTGCCGTGGCTGAAACGGGCAGGGCTGGAGGCTGCTGCAGATTTGGCTGGCTGGCGTGCTTAAAGCGCAATTAATGCTCCGAAAAATTCGCTTGATTTCACGGCGCTTGCTGGCTGCTAGCTGCTGGCTGCGGGCTGTGGGCTGTGGGAGAAGGGAAAAGAGAGAAGGGCAAAGACGCTTTAACAGTATTTGTACTTGCAACAGGCCAAATAAAAGCAAGTGGCAAAGAGTAGCATAGCTCAAGACGGCCAGACGCCGCTAATGTTGTTAATGGCGGCTGAAATCGTTCGGCAATTGCCTCATTGACTCGGCATAGCCCCAATTTAATGGACTTCAGCTGCAGCCGTAGCCGCCGCGCGTCCGGGCCCGCTTAGCAGCTAATGGGGCGCCGTTGAGGTCAACAATTTCTAAAATACGTGTACGTGGCGTATCTATGATTAAGAACGGCGCCAGCTGATATAAGCGGCGGAACGTGTTGATTCCATCATGCATTCGATGCCAGAGCCAAGCAGCCAAACAGCAGTCCGACCCACATGCTGCATGTGTGCAGGCTCAGGCATGCAGTTATGTTGCCTCTTGTCTGTTGTCCCTTGTCCGTTGTCTGTGTTCTGTTGTCTGTTGTTTGTTGCCTCTCGTCGCTGCATCAAAGCGTTTCCATGCAACGTGAAAGCATGATGAGATTTTGCATAGCAAAGTTAGCGAACATTTTCTCGTTTTATTAGCGGCACAAGTGGCAGTGACAGCTGAGGAGCTCGACTGGGTGATATCTGTGAGTCCACACCATCCATTGACAAACACACAAATGCCAGCTAAATGTGGAGAATATCCCCTTCATATGTACATCGGACATATATGTATATATTAACTGGAAATTTTTTTTAGACTCATTCACGAAAGTGAAATGATTAGACTCATTCACGAAAGTGAAATGAGTATATTGGTTTTGTGCAATGTCCGTCTTGCTGTCCGTCCGTCTGTCCGTCTGTCCGTCTGTCCGTATGAACGCAATCTATTTCGGCGCTATTGAAGCTAGAGACTTGAAATTTGGAACACATACTCGTGTATATCTCCGATTTATAAAGTGTTAAAATTTTCCCGATCCGCCCACTAGGGGCGTGGCAAATCGGAAAATGCATTTTCCGATATACCAGAAATCATGTTTGTTGAAGAGCTAGAAAGCTGAAATTTGGTACATAGGTCCGCGCCGACCACCCAAGATCACAAGCTATGGCGGATATATCTCCGCCCATTAGGGGCGTGGCAAATCGGACAAAACTGTATCTCCTAAAGTTAAAAACCTAGAATGCTGAAATTTTGCACGTAAGCTGATGTTTTAGTTCTATGAAGATGGGTGAAAAAATTATATATCTACGCCCACTAGGGGCGTGGCAAATCGGACCTGAAGATATAGTGATTTTTCGAATTCTGTTATATTTTAGGCACTATTGATGCTAGAGATCTGAAATTTGGTATATATACGCGGGTTGATTCCCCAAGTCCAACGAGCTATGGTAGATATATGTCCGCCCATAGGGGGCGTGGCAAACCGCAAAAGTTTATATCTCCTACAGTTTACGAGCTAGAAGCTTCAAATTTGGATAGTTAAGTTACTGGTAGCCTCCTCTATCGATGCCCCAAAAATAATTTTTAAGCCTCTTTAGGGGCGTGGCATATCGAAAAATACCCTGTAATTTTCACATTTTTTGAGCGTAAGAATTCAAATTTTGCATTTAGGTAACCGGTTGCTCGTTCTAAGAACTGGCTAAAATTGAGGAGTCGACGGCCACTAGGGGCGTGGCAATCGGCATTTACAGTGCCCGTATTGCGACATTTATATACGTCAGCCATCTATTTATGCATTTGTACATATAAATAAGCTTAATAGATATTCATAATACAAAAAGAAACATTTTTATGAATTTATAAAAAATTTAAAAGAAGCTAAAATAACAAAAATTTGCAATTTACAAAAAAGTGTTTTCCGCGGGATTTGAACTCGCACCCAACCCAAACAGCATGTTTGTCAAAATAGCTAAAATAATGGTCGTCGGCGCTTCAGCCTACAGCACCACCGCGTTGTTTCGATCAACAGTAGTTAAAACGAAATCACATTATTGTTATGACGCCACATAGCAAAGAAAAGCCAGAGTGGTGGCTGGAAATTCAAAAACAATGCAGACAAATCAATCGCAACGAGATTCTTAGAATATGCTAGAGTACGCATTTATCTGTGCATACATACACACATACAAATGAGCGCGTGTATAAGGCTGGAATGCTTGATGCTATGCGTGCAGACTTACATATATACATATGTATATATTTGCGTATATGTATTTGAGGGCTATTTAAGAAGAAACAAATTTAAACTTATAAAATTATTCGACTAAGAAAATGAAAAGTATTAAGTGCCATTCAGTCAAGCTCGCACCTTCCCAATAAAATATCTATTTTATAAAAAACGAAATATGTATGAAAAAAAAAATAATAATAATAACATAGCAGAGGTTCGAACCTCCCCTACTCTAACATTACTTGCGTCGCCCTTAGCACCCGCGCCACTGCTTTGCTCGAACAATTAGTTGCTAAAATAGAATAGCTTAATAAGAGAGCGTCATCAGACAAAACTACAGTAACGGCTAGAAAGTCCAGAAATCAATCGAAATTCTAAGAAGACGGTGAGTGTGTGCACATGTATCTGCTTCTAGCTTGAAGCCGGTATCCAATATATGGATATAAATACATATATATTATTAAAAGTCTAAATTTTATAAATTATATACAATAGCAATAGCTATCGATGATTTTCCAATTTTAATGGGATCATGCCCTGTTTTTTGTTGCGCACTAGACTTGAAAATTGCACTATATACTCTGGTTGACAGCGTTTGGGCTGTGAATGAGTCTTCTGCAATCGGTATCGCCCGACTGCAACGTTCTTACTTGTTTAAAGATGATGTTGTAATGTAAAACTCACAAATTTTTATGAGGTCTTTTACAAGTTTTACTTTATTCACTTTCCTTGTCATCGGGTATTATTTGTTTAGCTTGTCTAAATAGGAGTACTCATCAGACTATTTTTCCAGTTTCTGTATTGTTGTTCATCTCATCTGCTCTGGTTACAGGTCCTGCATTTTGGGGTCTTATCAATCCGGAATGGTCGCTCTGCAACAAGGGACGTCGCCAGTCTCCGGTGAACCTGGAACCACAACGTTTGTTATTTGATCCGAATCTGCGCTTGATGCATATAGACAAGCACAGGGTAAGCAAACACCACAAGCACAGTGTCATTTTGAAATCGTGCTTGACTAACTCATACCCAGTATTATGCAGAAGCTCACTCCAGCTGAATTGCATTCTCAAATCTGTTTATTTTTAAGCCCATCTCTATATTTGTATATGTACATATATTCCCACACATCGATTGGTTCTCCTTCTACAGATAAGTGGAATTATAAGCAACACCGGACACAGCGTAATATTTACGGCCGGCAATGATACAGTCGCCAACTATGATGGCATGCAGACGCCAGTGAATATATCTGGCGGTCCACTCTCGTACCGCTATCGCTTCCATGAGATACACATACACTACGGGCTCAACGATCAATTTGGCTCCGAGCACAGCGTCGACGGCTATACGTTCCCTGCAGAGGTAAGTTGAAGTCTGAAATTGAAGAGTGACGGACCCACGAATTAGTACCCTCAAAAAAAAAAAAAAAACAAGTAAGAAGGCTCCAGTCGAGACTGCTCGACTAGGAGATACCCTGAACCCTCTAAGCTGATATTCTAATCATTCTGCACTTCTTTTATGCACATGCATCCACACGCACGCATAAGCCCGTGCTCTGCTAACTGCCCAGTAAGCAGCGACTGCGCTTGGGCTGCGCTGCAGTGTGGGCAATATTATGAGAATTTCTTTGTTGAATAATTTCTTTTGTAGACATACGATATATAAATCATAAAACTTTTAGAACGTAATCATATGGTGAATATGTGTGTACATTCCAAAGCACAAGTCTCTAGTACTTGAAATGCGTTTTTTACAAATTGGGGGAAAAGGGGGCGTGGTATCCAAAATCTGTAAATGACAAAATCTTTGTATCGATTAACTTTATATACAACGCAAATTTGAAGACTCCAGGTCTAAAAGTGTTCAAATTAGGCTAAAAAAACAAAATAAATTTTTCGATTATTCTAGATAAAAAAGTTATCGGACGATTTATCGAAAAAATAAAGCAAACTCGTACTGTGTATGGTACACACGAGTATGCATACCAAATTTCAGCTCTCTAGATCTTTTAACTTCTGAGATCGACGCACTCATACGGACGGACGGACGGACGGACGGACGGACGGACGGACGGACAGACGGACAGGGCTATATCGACTCAGCTCATCGCGCTGATCAAGAATATATATACTTTGTGGGGTCTGCCACGCCTCCTTCTGCCCGTTACATACTTTTTCACAAAACCATTATACCCTGATTTCCCATTTTCAATGGGTTCAGGGTATAAAAAACTATTGTAAAAGTGCTAGAAGGGAAAGTTAGGCGGAACTCTGAAAAACAGCTTTTAGCTTTTTGTATGTTGTTTGCACAGTGTCAAAGGTAATTGCATATTTGTGCTATCGATAATTAATAGACCGATTATTATATATGATAAAGATTAGATTAGATTTAAAACTTCAAGTCTCCAGCTTTTGCAGTTTACGATTTCTAGGCAACGACGAACGGCGAACGAACAGAATATATGTATATTCAATACTTAGCTCGTCTGCCTGACCAAGAGAATATGTATAAGTTAACACAATCGACCAGCAAAACATAAATGTTCAGATTGATCACGCGCCGTCAGCATGAATGTAGCCGTTCCCAGCGGATATTGCACAACAGCAGCAGTGGCTCCAACGCGCAACAATGTTGTTGCCCGAAGTAATGCGATGCCTCGCGTAAATATGCAATGTCAGCATAATCAGGGTTTAGGGCTAGCTTTGGATATAAGAATTTATGTCACTGTACTTTAGTTGATTTTTGATAATAAAGAACGTCGGTCGTCGCCACGGGATTATTGAAGTCTACTCATTTTGTGCAACACCGCACACTAACATCTAACAACTACAGCAAAAAGCTTAATTGGCGCCCAACCGAAACGAACCCAAAAACCAAAAAAAAAAAAAAAACGAAATTAAAACTTCGATTAAAACAAGCATTCAGTGAGATAAATACCCCACAAGTGCAAAAAAAAACAGCAAGACAACTAAAACGCATAACCAAAACGAAAAAAGAAAAAAAGAAAGCAGCATTAGACGAAGCAGTACGCAGCGAAGACACCCACCACGAAGCGGCTCATCAGCGAAGAAACACACAACATACAGTCTACTAACATAATATAAGAACATGTGAGTAGAGTGTTCATTGCAAAAAAAGAAATTAAGGAGTAAAAACAAATAAAAATACAATTTCAACCTTTAAATATTAATTATTAATAACAAAAAACGCAGCACGCAAAATTCCCTGTCTTTACTTGCCCTATGAGTGATAGTGAAATACAAGATTTAATAACAAATTTTCGAAAAATTTACAACACAGAAAATTTAAAAATGGCTTTGAATTCAGATCAATTAAAAGCTATAGTAGAAGGCGCAGTCGCAAGCGCTTTAGCTGCTCAAAAAGATAGCTTTGATAGAAAATTAAACGAAATTGAACAACGTATAAATTCAGTACAGGTTAGCGCACCCGAGGTAGAAACTTTCAAGGAGGCAGAAATCAAAATAGGTGTTATTTGCAACGAAACCCTTGACATCATGAAGTCCCTCCCGGACTTTGAAGGAAAAAGCGAAACTTATGTATCTTGGAGAAAGGCTGCGCATATCGCATACAAGGTATATGAGAAATACGATGGTAGCTCAAAGCATTATCAAGCTTTGGGAATATTAAGAAACAAAATTAAGAACGCTGCTGATATGGTACTCTCTTCTTTCGACACTCCTCTAAATTTTAAGGCCATTATAAATCGGTTAGATTTCACGTACTCCGACAAACGACCGATATACTTAATTGAACAGGAGATGTCAACACTCCGCCAAGGAAATTTGACACTACTGCAGTACTACGACGAGGTAGAAAAGAAACTGACTTTACTTATAAATAAGACAATCATGACCTACGACACCACCGTTGCCTCTTCGCTAAATGAGAAATATAGAGCAGACGCCCTGCGAGTATTCATCTCAGGAACCAGGAAGGCCTTAAGTGATGTCCTATTCTCAGCTAGACCAATTGATCTTCCCTCTGCATTGGCATTGGCTCAAGAAGTTGAGTCAAATCATGAACGTTATATGTTCGCCACAAATTTCGCCCGCAGTATAGAAGAAAAAGCGCAGAAGATCGAACAAAGACAGCAAGTCAGAGACAAGACTCTAGCTCAAGACCCAAAACACAACCAACCAGGAAAAAGCCCACACTACAAAAGACCAGAATTCTCACCACGACAAGAACAGGTAGAACCAATGGACGTTGACTCATCTTCTCGCTTCAGACAGGCTACGCAACACCAACAAAACGCGACCTTCTCGAAACAGACTCAGTGGCCAAATCAACAACGACGCACTCAATACGAAAACTACAATAACCAGGGACAGGCAAACAAACGACCAAACAGCGGTAGCGCACGGTTCACAGGACCGAAACAGCAAAGAGTTAACCACCTAGGAACAGAAGATACAGAATACGAGCAGGACAATAGCGAATACCAAGCGATCGCAGAAACCGAGACAGAAGACGTTGACAATGAATTGGACGAATACGACCAGGTCAATTTTTTAGGAATAAATCCCTGCTCCCGTTCATAGAGAGAACGATAGCAGGGAAAACCATAAAGTTGCTAATAGATACCGGAGCCTCAAAGAATTACGTGAGACCATTAAAAGAACTAAAAAATATTACGCCGGTAGAAAAACCCTTTCGATTAAAATCAATCCATGGCCACAACGTAGTTGACAAGAAATGCATAATGCACCTTTTTAATACCAAGACAACATTTTTCTTATTACCAAACCTCACGACATTCGATGGTATAATCGGACTTGACCTACTAAACCAAACCAACGTTTTATTAGACTTCAAAAATAAGAAACTAACAACAAACTATGGTTCTGAGACCATTAACTTTCTAAAATGCCCAGCCGTAAATTTCACAAGTGTCAAAGAAATAGAAGCCCCTCAGGCTATAACAACGGAATTTCAAACAATGCTCAAAGCCCGAGCAGGAGTATTTGCGGAACCAAATGAAGCGCTTCCGTATAATACAAATGTCATTGCAACTATTAGAACAGAGGACGAGAATCCCATTTATTCAAAATTATATCCATACCCAATGGGCGTATCAGAATTCGTAAACACAGAAACTCAAGATCTGTTAGAAAACGGTATAATACGTCCGTCCCAGTCACCATACAATAACCCCGTGTGGGTTGTAGATAAAAAAAGGTACCGACGAGCAGGGAAGAAAAAAGAAACGTTTAGTTATAGACTTCAGAAAACTAAACAAAAAGACAATAGATGACAAATACCCCATTCCCAATATAGCCTCCATTTTATCCAACTTAGGCACAGCAAAGTACTTTACAACACTAGATTTAAAATCCGGATTCCACCAGATTTTACTTGCCGAAAAAAGATAGAGAAAAAACAGCCTTTTCTGTAGGAAGCGGAAAGTATGAGTTCTGCAGGCTCCCTTTTGGCTTGAAAAATGCACCTAGTATTTTTCAGAGAGCCATTGACGATGTGCTCAGAGAGCAAATTGGAAAATCTTGTTATGTTTACGTAGACGACGTAATCATTTTTTCTGAAAATATGGAAAGCCATGTCAAGCATATCGCCTGGGTCCTAGATAAACTATACGAGGCCAACATGAGAGTTTCACCAGAAAAGTCGCACTTTTTCAAAGAAAGTGTAGAATACCTAGGTTTCGTAGTCTCAAGTAATGGTATAAAGACATGTCCAAGTAAAGTTGAAGCGATTCGTAACTATGAAGTACCAACAACTTTGTTTAACGTCAGATCATTCCTTGGGTTGGCAAGCTACTATAGGTGTTTCATCAAGGACTTCGCGTCTATAGCAAAACCTATAAGCGACATCTTAAAAGGCCAAAATGGCAAAGTGAGCGCCGGACAATCCAAAAAAATTCCAGTAAAATTTGACGAGAGTCAACATGCGGCATTCGAGAAGCTAAAAGAGGTTCTTGCATCCGAAAATGTAATGTTGCTCTACCCTGACTACAAGAAGCCGTTTGATTTAACAACGGACGCTTCATCCTCTGGTCTTGGGGCAGTTCTGTCACAAGGTGGAAAACCAATCACCATGATATCAAGAACATTAAAGGATAGAGAGCTTATCTTTGCAACAAATGAGAGGGAACTACTTGCAATAGTTTGGGCTTTAAAAAACCTCCGAAATTATCTATATGGGGTAAAAAATTTAAATATCTTTACGGACCATCAGCCTCTGACGTTTGCAGTATCCGACCGAAACCCGAACGCAAAAATCAGGCGTTGGAAAGCTTTTATAGATGAATATAACGCAAACATCTATTACAAGCCAGGGAAGGAGAACTACGTTGCGGACGCACTGTCACGGCATAATATTCATGC